TTTTATAGCAATGTTTATCAGTTTTACATTCCAACAAATTATTTTAATGATTTAATAAAAAATTATTTTCAGTTTTGTTTTCAGCAAAATTTTTAGATCTTTTAACACAATTGTTCTTTCCGTGCACGAAAGATGCATAATGTCCTAAGATATAATTTTTCATTATTAAATTGAAACTTCTATTAACAATTTTTTATCAAAAAGTTTTCAGCTTTATATAAGAAATATAATATAAATTGTTTTTCTAGCTTCTTACATTCATCCATGTGGCCGTATAGAACCGAACTACGAACAATGCCTTGCGAGAAACTTTGAGGACATAAAATATAAGATCTGTTCAGGGATGCCGGAACTAAATGTTCCACCACCCGAGCCACTTGTTATTGACAAACTAGTTATTTATGACACTGCCAGTACTAAGTTGTATCTTAGAGATGCAAAAGTATATGGATTTTGTAATGCTGCCATAAACTCCATTTACACAGATTCTGATAGGCAGCATTTCGAGTTTGATCTCAGTATTAAGCATCTTCGTATGAACGCTACGTATGACTTTGACATACACATACTGACGCAGATTACTCACAAGGGAAAAGTTCACGTTACTACCGGTAGGTATAATAACTGATGCAAACCTTATATAAAAATAAAATATGAATACACTTAATGAAACTTAATTTAGGATAAAAGATTAAAAATTTTCAAATATCTCATGAAATTATATTAATTAATTTAAATTATCAAATTTATTGTAGATTTCGCAAATGTAAAACTAGGAATAGATTTTAAAACGACAACTAAGAACGGTGTTAAACACGCATATGCGTCGAAAACGAAAGCGCGTCTCGACGTCAAAGAATTCAACTACGAGTTCGATGAGACCGAAAAGGAATTAGTTGACTTACATAAAATACTTAATAATGTCGTAACCACCAATGAAGAGGAAATGAGGAGAAAAGTTATACCGTCATTGGAAAAAGAGATCTCCAAAAAGATGATATCAATTTTCAATGATATGTTTCGACATACCCGTTATGAAGAAATATTTCCCGAAACAACACAAATTATCTAGAATTTTGTGGTCTACTTAGTTTGCTTTTTGCATCTTGCATCTTGCGAGGTTGGTCACAAATTTTGTCTCTACATTTTAAAATTTACCGGATAATGGAAAAAAATATCATTTTTATTATTAATACATTGTTATGTTAGAATAACAGCGTATATTTGTATAAATTAATAATTATGTACTTTATGTCTGTTACTAACATATGTTCTTTGTGTCATTTCAAATATCTTTATCGAATCATTTTTATCGAAAGGGTTTTAAGTAAAAAAATATAATGTTACATGATGTTATAAAATTATAAAAAAGTAAATGTTTAATAAAGATGCAACATACATTTTTGTTCTGTATTCATCTGTATTTGCAGTTCTACTCGTAACTTAGTAGCGCGTTTACCTATGAGCTTTGGGACTTGAGCCTCTGGAGCGCTGTGCGCGCTGAAGTATCAGAGGTACCGCAACTTTTTGAATCATACAGTGATTCAGAAAGCTGCGATTTTATCGCATTTGTAAGTTTTTTTTACAATTAATGTAATTTATTTTGGAAAGATATTTCCAAAAATCTTTGCTACTTTGGAAAGATTCAACAGATATAAAATTATCTTCACAAAGAAAAGATAAAAAGTAAACAAAGACGTACTCCCGTTGAAAACATATTTTATAAAAAAAATATTTAGCAAGAATTTTAGATTTAAAAAGTAAATAAAGGATATATGGGTACCACAAATTTCGTCGAATAATCAAAAATTTATTTATTCTATGTTCTTTATTGTGTCATTATTATTTATCACATTATTTCTTATTAGTATTTTTTATTTGTTTGATGTCATACACCTTGTTATTTTCTTAAAAATTAATTTTCTTAATAAAATTATATTTACACGAATTATAAATATACGAAAAAATAAAAACCGGTTGCTAAGTCAATATAGAACCGGTTTGAATCACTATTCCATCTTCCTATGTCACAAACAATTCATATAGAACGAATATTGATTCCTTTCTTGCGATGCATTTTTAAATTTGATCATATCAGAGAAATAAAACAAATAAAATACAGCCTGCACAACGATACTTTTCATTCTTTATATTTGCTATTAAAATAAATGAAGATTTAGAGAACGTTTTAAAATAGTGGGATTCTATACTACGAAATCGATCAGTTTATGTTGATTTTATTTGATGTTTGCTTTACATTCGTATTATTTGTTTTATGCAATTTACCTTATCTGTATCTCACAATCAAAGATACTCTGATAAGCGACGTTTTTTAATAGGAGAAAAGGTAATATAGGATAATTCCGGTATATACACCGCACCTATTAAAAACTTAATTTATCAGGTATTATTGATTATGGTTAAGGTAAATGAACTATAGTAAAAACTTTAGACTGTCTATTAGACTATGAAAAAAATATTAGGAATCCAAAATATTTATTTTTTATATTAAAAAAAATTCTTTAAACCCTTGCATTTTTGTCGTATAAAAATTTGGGTAGGTTACTCATGGGCGGATGGAATGAATGACTCAAAAAATAGA